TAAAACAAGGGGAAAGCATTTTCTGGATTGGCAGTCATAAATGCCATGAATACAGAGTGCTAATACGTGTTGAAGGAAATAGTGGGAGACCTATTAGGGCTATATTTATGTAATGATAATAGTAGAATATGAAAGAAATGACCTATGAACTATATTGTGAATAAGAATTAAAGTAAACCTTATATATTTATAGAATAAAAAATTAAGGTCAGCTCCAACAGAGTCTGGGGAGGCCATACTTGGTGTAATGCTGACCTGAAGTGTCCCTTAAGGGGACAAGAGGAGACACTGGGAGAGATTTCTATGGGCTATACTGATATATAAAGATAATATTATAGGAAATAAATGAGATATATATGTGCTATACTAAATATTTACATGTCCTATGAATTCTATGTATACTAAAGAAAAACTTTTTTTAGCTAAAAAATGTCAGGTCAGGTCCAACAGGGTGTGCACAACGCTGACCTACGGATGGCCCTTCAGGGATCAATAAGGGATAGGGTCTGGGATGAGGTGATTCTCCACCCAAGCCACCGTGAACAACAGGAGGAATATTAGCAATGCTTGTCAGCTCTGACCCCCCAAGCACAGCTGAGCGCAGGGAGTCTTCTTTCAGCGGCCGTCTTGCAGCATTGTTGAGATGCGATGTCCCAGTTCAAGGCACTCATCCATAGCCTGCGAGTGGGCGGCGGGATCCTGTGCCAGGCGATGGAAGAGGTTGAGTGGCTGGGCGGTTTTGACATCCAGGGGCAAGATAATCTCCTCAGGCAAGGTCCGGTTGCCCACAACGAAGTGGTCCAGGCGTTTCTCCTCCAGGGAGCCGTACAGGTACTGCATGGAATCCTCCAGCCGCTGCAGGAAACGCGTCATGCGCCAGCCTGAGACGGGGATGATGTTCAGGAGGTGCATCACAATGGTCTTCAGGGTGTAGGTGGAGAAGCCAATGCCCACCACAGCACGGGCCAAGAGCTGCAGGCATCTGAGGTGCCAGCTGTCCCGTGGAGCCTGCCGGGCAATGTGCCTGAAGAACTTCCTCTCTGCCACGGCGTAGGTCTCCGGCCACATTGTGCTTGGGGTGAAGAGGGCCTCTGTGGGCTGGCTGCTCACATAGATGTGTGAATTGCCTTCTTGCACCCCAAACAGCACCTCAACCATCAGGCTCTCTCCGCCTCTGCTCACCTTGAATTTACAAGAGCGGCTGGAGGGCAGCAGCACTAATTGCCAAGTGTGTGACTGAGGCAAAGCCAGCCAGGCTGCTCTCACCAGCTGGTAGAACCAGCGGGCAGTTTTCTCCACATCGAGGTAGGAGTCAGAGCAGAGGATGTTTAGGAAGTTGGGCTCCTCGTTCCTCCTCTGCTCTTCCTCTGGGTGGTGGAGGAAGCACAGGACGTTCTCATCCTGTTGCTCCCTCCTGCAGGTGCACACCGGTTCCACGCGGATGTAGAAGTTCCTCCCAGGCAACTGGCCCAAAGTGTCCATCTCCAGATGAAAGACGTGCCCTGGGGGAGGAGTGAGGGGGACAAGGACACTGTACACGACATCCTCCTCCCGGGGACTCCAACCTTCAAAGGCACTGCCCACCCCAATGGCTCGTTGCAGCATTGGGTAGGAACTGTTGGACAAGATGTGTCCAAACACAAGGGAGAAGTTGTCCATCAGGAAAGTTGTCATCTCGCTCCCTTC